CTTAAGTGAATCAGAACACAGAACTGGTTTGTTCTTTGTTAAACCTATTAAGAGCCTTTATATTTCCCCATTGTAAATTTTCAAAGCATGTGAGTGAAGTATTTTCGCGTCTTGCTTCTCAGTTAAGTGTTCCTGCCTTTCTCCTGAGACAGCCCTGGGTGGAGAGACCTCCTCATCTCACCCAGCCTGAGTGGCCTTGCTCCCTGGGTGACTCCAGGCAGCCGTGGTCAGATCCCTGCCCACCAGACAGATGCCAGCAGGCCAAGAGAGGGTCTTCAAACTCAATTCTTCCCTGCCCTACTCCTTTGAACTCTGTTTATCCCAACTTGCTAAATTTAAACTCAATTTTTCCAGAGTGGGTCTTTACTTGAGGATCTGGCCGACTAAATTAAGGCTCTTGTTCCTCCTTTCATGGCCTTTTATGAAGCTGCCTGGCATTAATTACTATGTTTGTCAGTGGGTAATAAAAATCTCTGAACCCCTTGTCCCAGATTATCTTTTTAAAGAAATGCAGCTCATTTACAGTTAATAACCAGAGGCCCTGGCGTCCTCAGGTGGCTAAAGCACTATGATTTATAACATCCACTAAGTGGGCCCATGCGCTTTTGTGCAGGATAGCTGTTCCCAAGATGCCCTGGTTCCTCCCAGCCACAGGCTACAGCTTCTTCTCAGCCCCCATCTGGGCTCAGTGGGTGCTGGTCGGATGCTGACTCACAGCACCGTGGCCACTAAGGCCATTGTGTGAGCTGCCCCACATGTCAGTCCCACTGGCAGCAGATGGAGATCATATTCTTTCCTCTTTCCCTCACAGACCACGTCTCGGTTGGAGGACTCGGGGACAGTTTTTATGAATATTTGATCAAATCCTGGTTGATGTCAGCCAAGACAGATATGGAGGCTAAAAATATGTACTACGAAGCCTTGGAGGTAAGATGAGCACTCGTTCTTCATGGGCCATTGGTGGTTAACCACCAGCTCTCGCGCAGCCCCAGGGCCCAGATGGGCAGAGGCTTGCTCATGCCTTCCTACGGGGAGCCAGTGAGAAGAATGACAAGACAGACACTTCACACCCCTTCTCGTGACTCCTGAACACTCTGCATGCTCTGAAGTTGAGACTGTGTTAATGCCTGTATATTACACGTTTGAAACTCAAGCTCAAGAGGATTAAGTCGTTTGTTCGGGGTCTTATAGGAAGTGACAATTCAGAATCCATGGCTCAAAAGCCATCAGCCTCCTGTCAGTTCATATATCAAAGCCCAGAATACAGCCAGACTGTGGGCTTGTCACCCACCCCCCAAGGAGGCAGCCAAAATGTGACCCTTGACTTTCTTCTTGCCAAACCAGAGATGATGACATTTTGAGGAGCATGTCTGAGCTTTGAGAGGACAACTGCAGTGGGCCATCCAGTTCTCCTCTTTATGTGGATGGAAACCAGGGCCCAGAAAGGGATGGGCATCTGCCCAAGGCCACATAGCATGGAACTGGCAGAGCAGGCGCCACTGCCGCTCTGTCCTTAACGCATGGAGTAACAAGGTGGTAGGAGGTGGTAGACTCAGAGGAGTCCCTCCAAAGACAGGGCTCAGGCAGCAGGGAGTCAGCCCAGCTGTCAGGAAGGGGGTTAGGGAATCCTACAGACCATCAACAGATACCTCTGAGCCCAACTAATGAAAAGGCACTGGGTCTCAGTCTCCCCATAAAGAAAGTTGAACAAGTTGGATCTACTCTGCCACCACCTTGGTCTAAACTACCTTCGTATTTCCTCTAAACTAGATTCCCTCTGCCCTATACTCTAAATCATTTCTCCACTTAGCACCTGGAATAAACCCAGCTCCTTTACTCACCAGGTCCCACCTGATCTGAGCCCTGTCAGCACCCTGACTTTGTCCCCAGTACTCTCTGTTCTGCTGTCTCAGCTCTAAGCACAAGCCTCCCTGATGTTCCTCAGACGTACCAGTCTTTTTCCCACCTCCCAGGCCTTTGCACTTGATATCCCCTCTACCTGGAGTGTTATTCACATGCCTGGGCCTTCTTACTGGTCACCTCTCAGCTACAATGCCCAGCCTCTGTGTCACACACCCCAGGCTCATTCTCTTCTTCACTTTTATCAGTGTCTGAGATTATCACGTGCAAGGATTTATTTATTTATTGTTTATATTCCCCAAATAGATTATGAGTTATCTAGAATCAGGGAGCTTATCTACTTGTTTGTCCTGTGTGCCCTGCTCCTGTACCTGGTACATAGGAGGCACACAGTAAATATTTTGTGAACAAATATGGGCATGAACACCGAAAGGCTGGACAGAGGGAAGGATGGATGAGTGGGTAGATGGGTAGCTAGGTGGATGTGGGGTGGGGGAAGGGAGAAGGGGTAGAGCCGATGGATAAGTAAATAGATGATCTCTACTCTCTGATCACATGAATCTGGCCAGGAATGATAATGCTTAGAAGACACATGTTGAAGCTGGGGTGGTGATTCACACCTATAATCCTAACACTCTGGATGGCCAAGGGGGAGGATCGCTTGAGCTCGGGAGTTCAAGACCAGCCTGAGGAAGAGTGACACTCTGTCTCTTCTAAAAATAGAAAAATTGTGTGTAGTGGTGCATGCCTGTAGTCCTAGCTACTCAGGTAGCTGAGGCAGGAGGATCACCTGAACCCAGGAGTTTGAGGTTGCTGTGAGCGAGGCTGATGCCATGGCACTATACCCTAGGCAAAAAAGAGTGAGACTGATGTACATTGAAATGGGCCTTTAAACTGTGGGCTCGGCAGTGAGTTTTCCCTGCCCATCTCCCCAGCATAAGATGTCAGTCATGAAGCAGCTTGTGGGACTCTAGTCACAGCTCAGTCTGAGTCTTAGCCCTGTCCATCCACCCTCAGAGCCTCAGCAGAACTCAGACCTGAGCCCCAGTCAAAGGATCAGCTTTCAGCTGCAGCCAGGTGTGCTGGGGGAGGCCCTTTGTGCCTTTCCTTGCAGAGTAAACAAAGTTAATGAGCAGTCTGGTTCCCTGCCCTCAGGCCACACTGTGGTTGAGGCTTCAAGGGAAGAAGTGGCCATGAATTATTTAAGAAAACTGGGAACACTTGATTGAACAGGAGAGAACTTTGAATAGGAGAGGCTTTGCTCCCCACATTTGATCTCCCCGGTAAAGACCCTGGAGCAGCTCTGACCTTGGGTAAAGGCTGGGCCTCTGGCAAGTTTGGGGCTTTGAAGAATGTTCTGGTAGTTCTCAACCTTGTTGGCACGTTAACATTACCTAGGGAGTTATAAAATCCTGATGTCCAGGCTGCACCCATCCCTGACTAACCATATCAGAACCTCCAGGCCCCATGCCTAGGTGACAGCATCTTAAAACCCTGGGGAATTCCATGGTGGGGGACTTGGAACCACTGGGCAGACCAAAGATTCTCACCCTACCTGCATCTTAGAGTCATCTGGGAGCTTTAGATATCCCATGTTGGTGCCACCCCACCACCCGACCCCTGCCCCTGCTCCCATGGTGATCATGATAGGCAGCTGGGATTGGGAGCCGATCAGGTTAGATCATAGTCTAGCTACAGAGTGGGTATGGGAGGTTCAGACAGGTCCAATGGGGCACAGCCCTGAGTGTAATGGCCTCCCATTACACTCAGAGGACGGGCAACAAGATGAAGACCCCGGGGCACTTAGGTCACTTTGACTCCTTTGGGCACATGCTCTAAATGCCTTGTCTCATTCAGCCCCCATTTTACAGATGATGAAACTCAAGGTCACATAGCAACAAGTATCAGAGCCAGGAGACAAACATGTGTCTGCCAGACCCCAAAACCATTGTGCCTGCTACCACTTAACAGCCAACGGCTCACAGAGGAGCCTGGCTGCCCTGAGAGCCCTCCCAGCATTGCCCAGATGGGGTTACGACAGGAAGTACTGAGCCAAAGTCTTTGGATTCTTTTTCCTTTAGTCCTTGTAGCCATTCCAGAATTTTTTTTTTTTTAAATATGGAATGCTTCACGAATTTGTGTGCCATTCCAGAAATTATTATTCCTATTTACAGAGGAGCAAAGTGATTCTTCAGAAAAGTAAAATAACTTGCCCACGGTCACACAATTCTTAAATTGCAGAACTGAGATTTGAACCCTACTCTCTGACTCCCCACTCAGCTCCTTGCACTGCTCTTGCTTTTATTAAAAGGATTTACCTTGAGCTGGGCACAATGGCTCAGTGGCTCACACCTGTAATACTAGCACTCTGGGAGGCCAAGGTGAGTGGATCACCTAAGCTCAGGAGTTCGAGACCAGCCTGAGCAAGAACCAGACCCTGTCTCTATAAAAATAGAAAAACTAGCTGGGTGTTGTGGCAGGTGCCTGTAGTCCCACCTAGTAGAGAGGCTAAGACAAGAGGATTGCTTGAGCCCAGGAGTTTGAGGTTGCTTTGAGCTATGACCACAGCACTCAACCCAGGGCGACTGAGTGAGACTCTGTCTCAATGAATGAATGAATGAATGGATTTATCCTGTAAAATTTGGATTCAGTCAAAAGGCCACGCCTAAGGATCTAGACCACATGTTGCACCCTTACAACCGCAGGTTCCCCATCCCTGAAATTCTTTACCAGTCACCAGCCTGTGGTGTGTTGTGTTTTGCTCAGAGTTTTTGAAGCCTTGTTCTTTATCTTTGCACCTGCTTGTCTCAATTGTATCCTCAAAGAGACTGGTTTATAATTTCCTCTTTACTCCTGTTGCTTAGCTTGGGGCTGACCCTAAATGGCAGTTGCAGAAGGTACAGATTCCCAACTCCAGTGCACGGCATCCTGCATCTCCCTGAGGTGCCCGTGTTCTCTCCAAAATGTTGACAACTGGTAACTCTACACCAGGTTTCTGGGCCCTGACACTCCTCTGTGCCTCATGCTCAGCAAAGCAGGCAGCTGCCAGAGACCCAGCTTTGCCCAGGAGCCAGGCCAGGCCCAGCGCAGACTGCAGCCTGGCAGCCAGGTGGCCCTGCAGGCTTCAGCGCTTCCCCCATGTGGAGCAGGTACCCTGACATGGCCCATCAGCAGCACCTCCCCATCTGCCACTCAGTGAGGGTCTATCCCACCAGCCTTGGGCCCTGCCAGAGAGGTGAAAAGGAAGAAATAGACCAGGGAACAAATGTTGTCTGAGCATCTTCCAGGCACTGGCTAGAAGCTGCTGCTGGTGGCTCCTTCCATCACACAGCACACAGTCACTCTGCAGAAACATGTGCAAATGGTACTCTGTAGAGGGGTGAGGGGTCCACAGAGTGCTGGTTTAAATAAGGGTGTCCTCTCCCAGGAAGTGGCATTCTGGAGGAGAACTAATGGCTGAATGGAATCAGCAAAGTCAGGGCTAGAACACACAGGCTACCACTCCTTTGGGAAGGAGGGACAGAACTGGTAAAGCCCTGGGCTGGAGGAAAATGCACACTGCATGAATGTCACCTTCTCAAAGAGACTTCCTCTGACATCTGCCTGCAAAGTGGGGCACCTTCCAGTTTTCTATGTCATCTCCTTAATTTGTTTCATTCAAAGTGCAGATCACAAAAAAAAAAAAAGAAAGAAAGAAAGAAAAAAAACTATCCAAGTGCAGTGGTTGGGCTCCTGTCCCAGCTACTTGGGAAGCTGAGGCAGGAGGATCATTTGAGCCCAGGAGTTTGAGGTTGCTATGAGCTGTGGTGCCACAGCACTCTACCAAGGGCAACTAA